TGATTTGAATCAGTGCTTGTCTCTGTAGAATCACTCCAATTATGATATTCTTCTTCCCCCAAATCCAAAAATATCTTCCACATCAATATCCATTGGCAGATGCTAACTTGTTTACTTAGGTCTGAAGTTGGTGATGAAGTGGAGGATGCAACTTTTTGGACAACTCGAACTGAACCAGCCTTTTGAAGGTGTGAAGATGATGATGCTGCCCCTAATTTAGCACTAATTAGATTTAGGAAGGTAGTTTGTAGGTGTTTATGGTAGGATTAGAAGGTAATTAGTGCTAACTTTTGATGTTGAAGATGATATGTATTCATTAGGAGGTAGAGAAAGTTGTGTAAAAATTTGGATAACAATGGTTGTCTTTTGAACCTTTTAACCCTCTTTTACAATTGAAAAGTAAAAGGAGGGAAAAAATTTGGAATGAAAAAGTTGGTTTTAAAAATTTGGTGAAAATTTGGGAGGGAAAAGTACACCCTCCCAAAATCAGATCATGTGAAATTTTAAAAAAAAAATTGGTGGACCCAACAAACTTCCCTCCTTTTTAAAACTTAATCATGCAATTAAAGTTGCTTTACCCCCTTAAAAGTTTTGACTTGGGAAGTGTGCACCCCCTCTTTGTTGCAAGAAATAAGAAACGGAGGGAGTATAAGTAAAGATATTGATGGTCAAATGAGTATATTATAGACCGTGTAAAATCAAAATGGGACTATCAATTGAAATGGAGGGAGTAATAGTTAAGGAAAGATTTAGTCACGTGAATCTTGTTTAGTTCGCCTCAATCTATATTTTCATTTAAACTTTTATGATTTTTACATACTAGTTCCGGTAATTAAATATGTATTTGTGAGTGAAACTTTGAATGAAAAGTGTTGCAAGTAGAGGAAAAGAAAAGGAAGTATTAGAGCATTGTATGTACGAAGTACCATCCTCGCTCTTTTTTTTTTCATTTGATTGGACCTTCTCAAAACGAGCCATTAAGTTAAAGCATATTCATGATCGGTTGCACTATGTATATGGTACAACTGATTGTACAATAGAAGTTCTTTTGTTATACCCGTGGGAACGTTCATAATTGTTATGAACCATAATGCTTTGTTAAATCTTTTGGCAAGAGTTTCAGTCAATCGCAATTAAATTTGAAAATAATGGAGAAAAAAATGGTTGGATGTTAGAATGATGCCTTTGATCAGAATTTCTTTAAAAGATGAGATTGTGGAAACTGCTTGTTGATCTTTTTTCCTAGTGGCTCATCAAAATTTTGTGATGGTGCATATATTTTGTTTCCTAGAAACTATGAACTTGTTAGCTTCTTGTAAAATGAGTGTGCAAATGCATTTTTGGTTCCTTAGATCTGAATTTATTATGCTTTTGTAGTGTGTACTCTAGGGAGACAAAGACAGGACAAAAGTAATTCGAATATGAAGATTATCTAATATCTAACTCCAATATAACAACTATTGTGAAGATTCTGAAGAAATAGTGTTATTGTATAGGATAACCTGCTTCATGAATGTTTTTCACTATGATGTTCTACATTGAAAAAAAAAACGGGTCATTTAAGAGCTGGAAGCACTTGTAACCAACATTGTGGTCGGCTGGTTCAAAGTGTGCTGATAGAACTGATCTACAATACTTATTTGCTGAACTTTGCAGGTAGAACTCTGTGGCCATGCAACCTTAGCAGCTGCACACTTTTGTTTCACATCCGGTTTGGTAAAGGAGAATACAATTGAATTTTTAACACTGTCTGGCATCTTGACAGCCCAGAAAGTGATTGAACCAAAAGAGTCTGCCTCACTTGTGTCTGATAAAGGTGAAGTGGAACAACCATTATTGATTGAGTTAGATTTTCCTGCTATTGCAACATCTGAATGCAGTTTAGATGAGACTTCGTCTATATCAAAAGTATTAAGTCCTGCTTCTGTGATCGACATGAAGAAGACTGCTTCAGAAGATCTCTTTGTATGTCCAATTCTGTTAATTTTCTCAATATAATTATAATAGGGGTAGTCCCATTTTGATCAGTATGTCAAAACATTGCATCCTCTGCTTGTCAAGGAGGCGGGAGTGAAATTTTTGCTATGTTTGGATTTCTCTTATTATTAGAAAGAAAAATGATTAACTTCTTAGTATTGTTTAGGTTGTCTTGCCATCTGCAATAGCCGTTACAGATACACAAGTTGACTTTGAGGAACTTAAAAAATGCCCTGGTCGAGGGTTGGTCATATGTGCTGCTGCGCAATCTGAATCTGGGTTCGATTTTGTTAGTCGATGCTTCTACCCAAAAAATGGCATCAATGAGGCAATATGCTTTCAAATTTGTGTGTTTTATTTCAGAAAGAGTTCATGCTTCTGAATTTTTCAATGTGTTGTGTTAGCTTATATGTATTGAGTTTTCTAATATCAGTTACTTGGTATATCCTGTCTCCGCTGTGACAAGTGTTTGAGTTTTCCAATATCTGAATAAGTAGTAGTCGTAGACTCGTAGTTCATCAAGTAAAAGGTAATCTAATAATAATTACTGCAGCTAACAGAATTTGCTTGTAATCTAGGATCCAGTTACTGGTAGTGCGCATTGTGCTTTAGCATACTATTGGTCCAAGAAGACAGGGAAGTCTGATTTTACTGCATACGCGGTATACATCCTACAACCCTAGCTCTAACACCCCCCCCCCTCCCCCCTTACTTGCCTTAATAGTAATCGCCATATTCTCCATCTTACTATCTGACTCTATCTTACTATTTGTAACAGGCATCATCTCGGAGTGGAGTATTGAAGTTGCACATAGATGAGCAGAAGAATAGAGTTAAACTCGGGGGAAAAGCTGTTACTGTGATGGAAGGCTCTATTGTAGTGTAAACTTGAAGGTGTCTGTCAGTTGAGCTGGATTATGAATGGCAGCTACTTGATGGCATTTGTATTGGAGATGTTTTATTTTCTTAAGCAATAAGATTCATAAGTTCTTGTGTCCACATGAGGTGTTGTGTGAAGGAATCATGGTTCCTTGATTATTTGAACATGTTGTATTGGAAATGTTGTATTTGAACATGTTTACATCAAAGGCATAGGTCTTGCTATATCCTATGCCTTTGATGGTTTTATGATTTGGTTTTTTTTTTTTTGTAATGAGTGGTGGACAACCAAACTCCTATCATAGGAGGGGTGGAGATTGAACCCAAGTCATTCCTGGGGGAGATGGAGGGACAAACCGTCCCTTCACTTCATGATCCTCACCAAAAAAAAATGTTGATGTAGACAAGATTTGATTCCAAAATTTTGATATTATCCCTAAACTAAGCTATTTAATATACACTTTGATTGTTTCATGTCAACTTGGCTTATTTTGGATATTATCCCTAAACTAAGGTACTTAATATCCACTTTGATTCACAACTTCGTTACCAAATAGTGCATATGAAAACTATCACACCACATTAAAAATAATGGAAATGAGGGTTAGCAAATTAAACAGCTTCCATTTATAAACATTTAGTACATCATTATTGAGATTGTATTGGTGTAACCCAAGTGACCAAACTCATACTCCAAACGTGAAATTAAAATTATTACATGTAGTTTGAAAGAAAAACAATAAAGAACTAAACCCAAGCCTAGATTGAACCAAATCAAAGAGTAAGAAATTATGTTGCATTTGATACGACCCTATCACAATTGCATTTTGAGCCTTCTTCCCTCCATTCACAAATGCTAGGCATGCCACATCGTTGGATATTGGTGCCATCGAGTTTGCTCCAAAAATGGTCCAGTTACCTCCTGTGGTTAGTTGCAGATCCACCTGAGGAACAGGCAATCCAACTCTTGTAGATCCCAAATTGCTAGTATTCAAGCATAGATCAAAAGGAGCAACCTTTTGAACTCGAGGAATCCCACGAGTAGCCTTCGCAAATTGTCTAAGTAAAGCCTTATAAATGTAGCTTTTGAGCGTAGTGTAGGGTGTGATCGTACTAAGCTTCACTAGGTTGTCAGATAAATGCATTCTCTCGATGAATTTGACAGCTTGTCCATTGATCGAAATACCCTTGAACCCAATATAGTGACCCAAAGCGTCCCTTGGGTGCTTTAAAAGTGGGGTGTAACTCAATAGTTGGGTGACATCCCTTCCAGGAGGGAGTAGCAAGTAAAAGGGACCTTCTCCAAAGAAGATAACTCCTTGATCCCCAAGGCACATCCCAAACTTTTTGGGCACTTTCGAATTAGAAAACTGTGATGCAAGAGAGAGAGATCCATTAGAAAGGCTAGCAAAGCCAGAAGAGCCTTTAGGAAGGGACTTTATGAGAGACTTGGGGAACATGACAAGAAGAACTTGTAGGTTGCTTTAGCAAAGGGATTGTGGCCATCAGTGAGCGCGATTGAAACATCAGTATAGGTTAAGTGAGATGAGGCATATGAATTGCTAATTGGGTTTGAAGGTGAGGTCAAACATGAAGATGTAGACGTGTGAAAGGACAAGGGGGTTGGTTTGGCCTCGCACTAGTGCATTGCTTTGCATGGCATGGAACCCTGGGGGATGCTTTCGGACAATGGTGCCATGAGAATGGCGACTCAAGGTCTATCACAAGTTTCTCTTTTTGGTTGAGAGTAATAATGTAGAGAAAAGTGGAAGAGTTTACTTGGGTTATGGGAGCAACTAATGCTTTGAATGATTGAGCTCCATGAACTCGAGCTGTAAGAGCGAGCAAAAGAGCGACTAGGTGAAGGATTTGAGCCATACTCTAGAAAGAAATGATCTTGAAGATGACCCAAATGGTGGGAATATAAATAAGGTGTTTCAATGTATCATAAATATAGTTCTTGTAATACTAGACTAATAATGTATGTAGCACCTATTAACCAGTAAATTACAAGTTTTTAAGACAATTTTAAGTGTTGACTTCTGATATTTAATGCAGAATTAAGAGTGCACACATAATGTGCACGTGCTGATTAACTGGATAACCCAAAATTTACGCCATTAACAATGTGCTAGCTCACTTAATTGATAATTTAAATACGTAATTGTATGCGTAACGAGAAACTTGGGAAATAACAGGTCTAGTAATAATATCATACCAATAGACATGAATTGTTTAATTTCTACAGAATTAGCTACTGCCGTTTACTTCTTAACAAGTACACTCTTTGCAACATCTATTGATACTAAGGTGCTTAAGTTGAGATGAAATTCATAGCTCAGCCAACAAGGCAGAAAAGGTCAAAACATAATCTGCGGCTGCACCCTTGTCACTGATGAACTTTCTTGGTCACATAAGATCTGTTTACAAGGACCAAAAGAACAAAGGTCTAACCAGCCTGCCACAACTCTAACGACCACGGCCCCTTCCACGACCACGGCCTCTGCCTCTTCCGCGTCCCACAGGTCGCCCTAAATTTTTGTCAAAAGGAACATTAATACAGCCCAACAGAAATGTTGTAGGTTCAGTCAATACTAATATATTAACGACCTCACCCCTCTCCCACCAAAAATAAAGGAAAAAAATAAGACATACCAGCAGCTGCCTTCTTAGGCTTGACTCTTGGAGCCTCCTCCACAAGTAGGGTTTCAAGGTTCAAGCTGTCAGGAAGAATATAATATCGAATGTTGTTCCCACGAACACTCAAGTGATCCATAGTTACTGGGTTTTTCCCCTTGGGTGTGAGTTTGACAGTCTTTAAATGTGTGTTCATGCTAATATCAACACCTACAAATCAGCAGTGGCAAATAAGGTCAGCGCATGGTGTAGGGACAAAGATGAGAAAGACTCATTAATCAAAGTAGATTACCAAGCAGTTACAGATTAAAATGTGCAAACAAAGACTAGTGGTCAGAGTAAGACAAAAGTTTCCATATTTTCTATAGCTATCTACAATTGCAAAAACCACTAATAACTTGGCTACCAACAATTTTCTCTCAGTTCAGCTCAGTATACAAAATGAAATTATGATTTCAGCCAAGAAAACTCAATTCACATATTTGTTGAAAAGAAATGATGCTACACACAGTTGATAAAGAGCTACTGTCTCTGGTGACAAGAACAAAAACAAGATACACACCTAAAAGGCTTAAAAAACAGAGTATGACCCCTTTCACTGGCTACATGGGATCAGCTACATGAACCAAGACTTTATCTCATTTACTCATTTACCCATCAACCATCATCCTCTAGGTATATATAATTAAGATAAAAGAGGCTCAGACATGCAAGGTAGAATAAGTATTCTCATTAAAAAAAAAAAGGTATTGGACTTGGGTATCAATGGTCTTCATTGACCATATGGGGGAATGCCTGTAGCGTTGGAAAATACGTTCAGATTGCAAATATAATATGATACGCAATTTGCTTTACATGAATTCTGTATATGTAACAGCGTAATTACATATCACTAGTTCAGTCTTTTAATCTTAGTAAATACATGAAACTCATTTGATTCTTGCACATTTTTTCAAAAGAGAAAAAATTTGACTAACTGAACAGAAAGGAAAATCATTACTCACTTAACCACTTTAGCACACTATATAAACAATAACCAATACAAATAAAGCCTGCGTGCCCACTATACTATCCACTTCATATCAAAAAGAGCACACAAGAATAATTTTTTGACTAAACATATTATTTGATTTGAAAATGACCCTATTTACTCAACTATCAAACAATAAAGATAAGAGGAGACCCAGCCTCAAATGCATCCCTACTTCTTCCTAATAATGTAAAATATACAGAAGATATGGAAAGCAACCAGGTAGAAGAGTGGTTAGCCATTGTCACTACCACTGTACGTCCAACATAGTATCTAATTGCAAAAGGAATACCATATTCTTCTAGGACATGATCATGTTATATAAAGGTGACGGTCAGAATCCAGGCAACATAACTTGCCTATTGTAAATCACTGCATGTCTCTCTTCAATCAGTCTAGTCACTTACCAATTTCCCCCTATAAATGTACTAGATCATGAACATATGTAAGTTGGTTCAGCGGTAAGATCCAGAACAAGCAGCCTCAAACAACATTCTCAGGGAAAGACGTAAAGATGAATTTGGTAAACATAGATTTGAGGCATTGAACAAAAACCCATCAACACTTCTACATGCAGTTGTGTTATCTGCAGTTCTGTACTTCTGACACATCAATAAGGTGCCAAAGACAACTTTGCGGGGTTCCTAAGCATTAGAAGTTTTATGTTTGGTTCAGGTAAGACAGTATATGGACACTTACTCTGTTAGTTATTAGGAATCCTTAACTTTGAGATAATGATCAAAGCATGTGATATACTGATTAAATATTTCTTATACCCCAGAGTTGCTCATTCAATAAAGCTATGCGAGCTTGTATTTTACATTGTCCCAAGGATTATGCCCCAAGGATTGAGCAACAAACAGATACTGTTTAAACTTTGGGGGGGGGGGTGACTATTAAGTAATTTTTGCAGAAGCCCTCCATAAGGCATAGGATAAAGTATTGTCAAGCACTCTAGCTACGCAAATCTAAGGGCTCGTTTAATTGAATGTAGGAATTACAAATTCCTTGGAAGTTTAATTCCCATGTAATTGAATTTCCTAGGAAATTCTAAAAAGTTAAACATAATTGGTTAACCATGGGAAGTTCCACTCCCCTAGGTCTCCCTAGGTAATTTCCACTTCCCATGAATTTGTCAACCAAACACCACAAAAGAATTTCAATTTCCCATATTTTTTTCGTCAAACAAACGACACCTAAGTAACTAGTAAGAATATGATGCTCATGAATAAACACTCTCAGTAGAAGGAATCAAGGTAAAATTATTAAAACGAACACCAAAGGAAAAGCAGAGTATACATGAATTTAGAGGCATAGAGAAGCTCTAATGAGAATGTGAAAAACATATAAACGTAGAGGTTACAGAACAACAGGTAGAGCAAAGAACTTATGGAAGGAAATGAATCAATATCAGGCTCTAGGGCTCTCTAAGGAAGCTACCCAGTCCCTCATAACAGACCCAAAAAGCCAAGGATCCTGTATAATAATATTCAGAAGCAAGGAAATATGAACACAGGCACACAGGTGGGATTTTAATTGATTGATTATTTCACTCATAAAGGATTGTGATATTCAATAATCAGTAAATTAGTTTGACACAGTTTTAGGCATGATACTCAAAAACTTGGGCATAAACCAACAGAGCAACAATCTTTATGAATTTTTGGTTGCTAATAAGTGTAAAAATTAAACAATAATATAAAAGACATACTGTGACACTCATATGGCAAAATTCAAACTAGTCTTTTTCTCCTTTTCTTCATATACAAAATTACCAACTGCTGAACTGTCAGAAATATCAAAGCCCTATGTCAACAGTTAATATTGATAGCTATAATGGACTACATTAAGATTAAATATTACATAGAAGTTGACTAATTTTAATAGCACAACTTTACACCAAGAGGATACACAAAATACCTTTTAGATAATACAATAGCATTCATATATTATTCTGTACACATGTACCTCATTTTTCAGTTACCCACTTTCACCTGCTCATATAATGTTTGAACTCATGCCAGCAACTGTTTCCATGCTAAGTCCAAAGCATTATCATTTCCAACAGCTCCCCCTACCTCTCTCGAAGTTCAAATTAAGCATCCTAGCTGTGGTTTTTCAGACATCTAGTTCATAAATCACCCCGCTCCCACCAAAAAAGGCTTGAGCATTTAAATATTCGTAATTTTGATACTTTATTTTAATCACTTGTGTTTCTGAAAGTAGCCTTTCTTCTAAATTAGATTATTTGTTGAACACATTCTTACTAGGTGACAATAGTTCTGTATATGTACAAGAAACAAGCTGGAACAGATAATTCTTATACACACCCCAGTGAAAGTCTGCCTAACAGAAACGCATAGCAAAATCTAACTAGACCACTACCTTACAAGTAAAGTGGGATGAAGCAAAAAATTAGCTGTTTAAACTATGGGGGATCATTTGCAAGCTGCACATACAAAATTTTCTATGTTAAGCAGCTAGTTCTGAATATGAAAATCGAAGTTGGAGTTGGAACAAAGACAGTAGATTTCAATACTTCCTCATCTAAGTTGTTTCCTTTTCTGGATGAAGAGTTATAAACTTGTTTTAGTTTGTAGTGTACTATATTGACTTTGGAAAAAGCTAGTATGTTGCACACCTTTCATTTGGAGGGAGGAGGGATATCACTCTGACAACAATAGTACTTCACTACTTCCACCCCCCCCCCCAAAAAAATACCCTAACCACACACCCCCTCCCCAAATTTATTTATTTTTTTTATAAAAGAGAACAAAACAAAAGAAAAGTGAGAAAAGAGCTTTAACCATAGCTTGATTTCCTAAATCATAACTAAAAATATTTCCAGATGTACCCAAATATGATACAATAACAGGAAACAGTATGCTGTCAGACTATCCACAGCCTGACAGTACCCATAATAATGAGATCATGAACACAGAACAAATATTTGCCTTCCAAATGCCAATCACGGAATTCTAAACTTGTTAAAGTCATTAAACAAACACTCACTCAAACTAGTAAACAAAGCAAGTGCTTTAGTTCATCTAAGAACAAATGGGAATGGGAAAGCCATAACTTGCACTTAGACACCTAAATTGACAAAATCAAATGAATTCACAAATCTAGCAAGTAAATGTTTTTTCAAACACCCAAAATATGCTTTCCATATCATATTAATTCAGCAATGTACAAACAGATCCATGCCATTGATGTTTTGACACATAATACCTTACTTATTCTACAGAAATTCAACCACACTTGCAACAAACCATCAATTACTCCCCCAAGCATTTTATTTCAAACTAAACTACACATTGACAGCGTACTTATTCTTAAGAAACATGTAATACTATACTATCACCCCCTAATTTCAAACTACTACACAACAACACAGCCCTTCAAGCTTGATCTATAAGCCTCTAATTAGAATACCTAACTCAGCTTGGAAGCATAATGCACTCAACCAAGATCATAAAGGCAAATCATTCTCAATTGAAAATCACCACGAACATAGAACATTCACATTGATTGTGAGCAACTACACATCAATGCCACACAAACAACCCCAAAAAATAGAGACCGTAATTTTTTGTTAAGCAGCATGAATTCACTGAATCCATCAAATACGGCGCAGAACATTGATTTCTAGAAGTAAATTATAAATAATGCAAACAAAAAATCACTTGAAACAATTAACAAAAACCCTAATTCATCGATTTAAGAGACAAAGAAAAAGGGAGAAAAACCTGTGATAGTTCCATGAACTACAGTGCCATTCTTGAGCTCAATGGAAACCGTTTCATTGTTCAATTTCATCAAAAACCTGTTCCGTTTTCAAATTATACAACAACAAATTCCAACGATTAATACCTAAAAAAGTATTCAAAAATTGCAAACGAAGAACAAGAAATACATTGAAAAATCAACAAAAAGAGAGAAGAAGAGATTACCTGACGAGCTTCATGGTGTTGATGAGAGAGAGGAGAGGAAGAAATAGGGTTTAAGGTGAAAATGGAGTCCAAGAGCGGGAGAGGGACTACGACTAGGGTTCAACTATTGAGTTATGGTTTAAACGACGCGCTTTGGTTTTGTTAATGAAGAGAGAAATGTGAAGCATATGATACCACAGTGGGCTCGATACTGGGCTTGCCTGGTTAATCCTTTCTTAAGCTTAGGCTTGTTGCTTTGTTTTAGTCCTCCCTCATTTTAGGGTGTGTCCATTATTCAGATTAAAATCGAAATCCAATTCAATCCAAATTTTATTATTAATTCAGATCGGATCTAAATTTTAAATCGAATTGACTTTGTTCGAATCCAAAAAAATCAAAATAACTGAAATATAAAAGCCTTATTTTATATAATAAGTATTATTAATATTAATCATGTTAAATTATGTTTATGATTATATTAATATTAATCATGTAAACTTATGTTTTCAATACTTGTATTAATCGTGTATAACTATATTTTCAAGAATTGAATTTTATTATTGCATTTTTATTTTTATAATCGCATTAGGCCCAAAAAATTAGCAAAGTATTTTAATTCGGATTGGATCCAAATAACTGAATTATAATTCGGATTGGATTTGGTGAGGAATTCGGATCGGATTAGATTGATAATTGAAAACCGAAATTTATTTCGGATCGGATTGGATTAGGACTAAATCCAAACCGAAAACTGAATGGAGACCCCCACCTCAATTCCCAATCATTCTCTATTAGTATGTACTCGTTGTGGCAATGCACGAGATGTAGTATAAAAAGTTGTGAAAAGGGAAATTATCTAACAGAATAGATCATTTCTTGCTATGGAGCATGTCAATTTGCGAACACAAAATTAAATCCTTTTTTTTCTTATTGTGAAAATATCTTGTTGCTTGATTGATATTGACTGAAGATTTTTTTTTTTTTTTTTATCTACTAAAAGTTTTTTTTCTTGCTTGATTGATAGGTTGCTAAAAGTGTTATAAATCAATAAGCATATTGATGGACTCTAACTCGATATAATATTTGCCACCTCCTCGTGATACCCTAAGTTGTTATAATCAATTACCATTATGGCACGTTATAATAAATTACCATTATAATAAATTACTGTTATAACGTGCCTAACGGTAATTGATTTAAACGGTACACCTAACTTGTTATAATCAATTATTGTTATAATGAATATTTGCCACCTCCTAGTTATACCCTAAGAACACTCTTACCAAAGAAGAAAAAAATCCCCTCCTCTCTCTCTCTCTCTCTCTCTCTTTCTCTCTCTCTCTCTCTGCCTTTCCCTCTCCTCCACATTTTATTTCTAAAGAAAGAATTTTTTTCATCCCACCAACAACAAACCCAAAAATTCCCTCACCACTCTCTTTCTTACTTTTTACTATACCCTACCATATCCTTTCTGTTACTTATTTTCAATTTTCATTTTATTAATTACTAAATCCATAATTTTTTCTACCCATATACTTGTCGATAAACAAATGTAATTTATTAATATTATGTCTTTAATTATTACAAACTAATTAAATAATAATGATTATTTTAACTTAGTTATGAATTAGTGAAAGAATTACTTGAAGAATTAAATTACGAATAATTTGCAAAATATGTAAGAAAGACACAAGTAATAAAAATAGAAATGCATTACAAAAAAAAAAGTGAAAGAAGATTGTGGTAAATGATAATAAAAGCGTCATTTAAAAAATAATGGAAGTAAAACAACAGCATAGCATCCTTCTCTCCAAGTATTTTTTAATGTCGATAGGACGTCGTGTTTGAAACTGAAAAGTCTCGTCATTATTTATGGTACCACTTTGTACTCGCTTCACCTCTACAACGCAGACGCGAAATTGGACGATTTGTTTCATAATATCTTCTTGTTAATTCAGCATTCGTATAAGTATCTCGTTCATTCTCTACTATCATGTTATAATACAAGCCTTCATAATGTCAGTATAACACCCCAATAATTCTCTCTTTAAACCTATGAATACCTTTAAATAAATACAAGAGAATTACTGACGTGTTACCGCCACGTGTTCAAACATTAAGACTAATTCATAATTTAGCAATGGAAAAACTAACTCAACTATAATAAAGTTTCAAAACCAATAAGCAAAACCAAATTAAGTCTTACAAGTTGGAACCATCAAGACCCTTATTCAAAACCCAGTTAATAAAGTAGTAAATAAATCAAATCAGAGTTTAAATAAGTTCAAAGCTTATGCAAAGAAATAAACTACGAGCAATAACCAACTCTCCACTCAAAATCCCACCACCTTGATGCAAGTCCAAACTATGCAAACACCTGTGATAAGTCTGCTCCCCAATATTACAAGTGTAAAGATTGGATCATTATAGGGTCATTGAATGGCGAAGGCCATGATCGAGAAAAAGACACACAAAAGCACGCAATCAGCAACGGTGAGTACACACAAGCTACGAAGTATAACAATAGAATTCCTAGCATGCTACTAATAATCAATAAACACACAACATTTTAATTATTGACTCACACATGATTCAACTATTAACATTACTAAGAGTTCTCTAATTAATACTGATTATTTTATAATTCATTTTATTTATTGGATTAAGCATTAGACAAGGTTGTCTCCCCATGCTCCAATTTGGAACACCAATAAAAATAAATAATAAAAAAAAACCCATGTCCTTTCGAAAACATCAATAAACATCTAATGGCAGACGGGCGCGACTCCGTGGCCATAGCTATATGAGATCTCATCTAACTTCTTATAGTTTTAAAAAGTATTTGAAAACAAGAGACTCGTAGATCAGACGACTTCTAGAAAAGTGCATGGCTAATACCCCGTGTACTCCAACCCTTGTTTGTCATTACTCTAGATGTGCACAATTCGAGAGTTTTATTTCTCATCCATCTTTCACTTTACGTGAGTTACAGGTTTGAACTTGGTGGTGACTCATTTACAAAAGCAATACAATCAACCAAACATTAATCATTCACACAAATTCATATTTCCAATTTCATTCTTAAATTATTAGTGACAAACAACATTTAGTTTTGAATCCTTAAAACTACCTCGGTGTGTAGATACCTTAAGTGCATTAGACACCTCAAATTCTCACCCTCGTCTTATAAGACTTCAATTCTTCCTTTACTCATTCCATTTCAATAATCATGAACAAGTAATAATAATATTTTAATCCACATGCTCATGTACTTTTGCCTCCAAGTTCTTCTTGCAAGTTAATGCATATAAAATTACTTACAAGATAACTCAACATACATAAGGTTATAAGTCATGCACATACAAGCATAAATACCAAAGAGATTTATTACCGAACAATTTCAATCAGCCTCAAGTTCCCTAATCATGATTCTAAGTTTTTCAAATCCTTAAACATGCTTCTAAAGTCAAGGTTTTTCGTATCCTTGTAAGTACCTTGAGTAAACAAATTGGTTGGCCACTTTAGAAACTAGAAATCGCCTTCTACGAAGTCCTCTCCTAGACCAAACAACAATAATTCAATCAATACCCAAGCAATTAAATTTACAGCATACTAACTTACTTTAAAACCTTCAAAATCCAATTAAACAACACTTTAAAACCTTCCCTTTAATTAAAATTAAAAGCTTATGTATAGTTCTTTAAGTTTCCTTCATGAAAACCATAAAATACACCCTTATACATAAAATTACAGCAAGTTTAAAGCTTTATAAAAATCTGAAAATTTACTTTATACATGAAATCTTAAAATCATAGTAATCTTTGAAACTACCTACATTATAGATTAAGCTAGTAAGCTTTAAACCCAAAAATTCACCAATTTCATGTAATTAGAGGCTTCAAAATAATAAATAAAAATCTGAAAATTTACTCTTAATTCAATACTTCATACTCACAAAATAGCCCCAATTATTTGTAGAAACTAGAATCATGAAAAGATGACATTACTACAAGTAAAACCCAAAATTAAGACTTTAGCAAATCTGTAAATTAATTTATAATCAAGATAATTGAATTTAAACATAATTTACACATAATATGATTAAGTAACTTGACCAACACGCTTTTAAGCCCTAAAACTACGAAAATCAAGTTTTAAACCCTTATTTTCTTGATTAAATAAATCTAAAATTTTAGTCACTAAATTAAACATAGTATAATTCATAAATTTGTAGTTTTTTACAATTCATATACATACTTAAACCATAATAATAACAATTAAAAATAAAAACTTATTAAAGCTTGAAACTTGAAATAATTTAACAAAACAAAAGAAAAAGAAAGAAGGAAGGAAGGAAGGAAGGAGAGAATGAAGGAGGGCGAATTGGTTGTCGTGTTGGGCGGCAGTGGTGCGCTGTGGTCGCCGGAGGAGGGTGGCGCCGGCGGTGGCTGAGCAGCGGCAAAAGGCGGGAGATTTTTTTTTTTTTGTTTGATCGTGAAAGCAACAAGGGAAAGCAGTAGAAAAGAAAAGAAAATAATGTGGGTGAGGGGAAAAATTGAGGGTTTTGGGGTTTCTATGTAAGTATGTGGGCTTGGTTTCCCAATTTAATTAGGAGTAGGAATTGTAGTTTGGGCTTGAATAAGAGTTTAAGCTTTCTTTACTTAAAATTAGGCTACTAACACTATTGACAAAATATATTGGTGACTAGAAAGAGAGTTTTTGAAATAAATTAATGCTTATTAGCTTAATAGAGTTCAATTAAATTTTACATAAAATAATTTATATAAAGAAATAGAAATAAAATATTTGTATAAATAATAAAGAAATATATTATAATTTGCTCTAAAAATATGGGGGATTACCGTCAGCTAGCACATCTTCATTGTAAGCAAGAGCTGGTTGTCATACGATTGTGAACCTCGCTTGTAGGACACCGAATGCACGTTCAACATCTTTACGTGCAGCAGCTTACCGTTCTACAAAAAGCATATGCTTATGAGTTTGAGGATTGCTAAATCCTTGCACAAAAGTAGCCCAACTCGGATATATACTATCAGCTAGGTAGTAAGCCATGTTGTATTCATGGCCATTGACAGTAAACTTCACTGGAGGTGCACGACCTTTAAAAACATCAGTAAAAATTGGTGAACATTAAAGTACATTAAGGTCACAAAAAGAA